CTGTGGTGCCAACCATCCCCGCTACTGGTGTAAGTGAGATTAAAGTTGGTAAAAAGAGGGGGAGGAATGAGGTGCCAACTGAAATAATTGAGGTTAAGCAGGACGAGTTGATGAAGAATCGGCCAAGAGAGGACCAGGCTAAGTTAACAGGAATTGCCTTTGGGCCTTCTTATCAGGTATCAACACAATGTTCTTGTTTTTTTAGTGTTTATCAATTGAAAGTGATATATATTTTGACTTCTGCATTAACACCTTGTTTTTCATTTATAATTTGAGAGCTCCAGGAATTGTGTTGCTAAATTTTAATGCATAGTGAAACTGTTAGCAGTACGTTTTTATTGCAATGCTATGAATTTGAGAGACAGTGCAAGTTCCGTTTCATGTATAATTTCTCTTTTTTGTATATCAGAGTCTGCATGCACTACTCTTCTATCCCATAACCTTGTTGTTTAACGACCTTTTCATGCCATTTTACCAAACCTTATCATTGCCACTTAGTACTACGGTCTAGTGGTATTCCTCTTCACTAGTAAGTGAGAGGTCTTAGGTTCGATTCTTTCCAAAGGCGAATTTGAACCACATTATTGCTAGCCCATTGTCAGGCTAAAGCCCACCCCCCTCCCTTTAGTGTAGATAATATCGATTGTTCAAAAAAACAAACGCTTATCATTAAGCTGGTGTAATGAAGTCAATGAAATTAGATTTGACAAGGAAGGGTTCTACGTTGTAAATAATTGATTCTTGGAACTTGAGTTTGTTGAATTCTGAAGGGTAATAGCAATTGATGTTTTAACACCTAAAACCTAAAGTACTATTTTAAACTCTGCGTTACAGTTTATTATTAAATTTGTCAAAATGATATAGATTAGCCATTTGATATTGCATTGGGAAACCCTATATTTTTCCAATGCATAATGTTACTCGTACAGTATTAAGCATCAGGTAGGACTGTAGGATCAAGGATAGAGTTGGAGCCTGGAGGTTTAGGTTTTTTCTTTGTGCAGTAAGACTATGAAGAAAAAAGAGATTTGAGTTAAAGGAAACTGACACAACCAGCCATCCAAAGCATGGCCTAAGATAGTACATAGAAGCTTTGCACCTGGGAATCCATTCTCTCATAAGAGGACGCTTCTCAGAAATTTGACAAGGAAAAGGTGCCTGTAGTTATGACGCTTAAGTATTTTCCTTGGAAGGAAGAACTGAACTATGGATAGTCGACTTTCTTTTAGAACTATTCTAGTTTAGAGTTGTAATGGCTGATGTCTTCTGCCAAACTTATAGAGCATGCTTGGTGTATCAAGTTGGACATTGTAGACCATAGGTGGACACAAGTTTTCACTAGTTGTCCTTTCTTAACCATTCTCGAACTGCAAGTACTAGGGAGGACTCCTTCCCGACTAGATTGACTTTGAATTGTCTAAAACGACCACATATAGTAATTTTGTTTGTCAGTAGTGTTTGATAAAAAAATTAAAATCCTTAACCTAGTTCCTTATGGATATGTTTCCAAACATCATGACGAATTTTGATATATCCTTTCGGTCACGTTTTAATTGGAGTGGGCTATGCATGTCATTGATTCCCTTAGATTGGCAGCAATGAGAATATGGTGTCAGCAGGTAGGATAGTGATTAGATGAAAATATTGTCATAGGCTGTTTGTGTGAGAATTTTATGTTTTATGTTGCCATAAAATATGAACTTAATTCTCTTGTTAGTTGTTTTTTGAATGTTTTGTCATTTTTCTTGGTTCATGTTCATTGAATACTTGGTTCATTGCTTCATTGTTTTTCTTTCTCTTTCTCTCTGTTTTTAATCTTTTGGTTTTTATTTTTAAACTAAATTGAGCTCCTAGTACATCTTATGCATATTACATAGTAACTCTATGTATTGTTTTTAACTATTAAACAGAGAAGTAGAATAATTGTGTAGGGTTGAAACTCAGAACCGACTTTAAATAAGAAATCATTCTACTTCAACCACGCTTTATGCAATTTCCATTTTGCAAGAAAGGAAGTCCTAAGTCACTGTTCTCTTTGTTTGTCCTTGCCAATAACTAGATGGTGCTTTGCTATGGTTATGTATTTATGCATTGACTGATATATTTAAATTTGTTACTTTCAGCCTGTTTCTACAAAAGCGAAGCCTACAAAGCTGCATAAGAGGAAGCATCAGATTGGTTCTCTGTACTTTGATATGAAGCAGAAGGAGATGGAACTCGCAGAGCGGCGTTCAAGAGGCTTCCTGACTAAAGCTGAAACACATGCCAAGTATGGATGGTGATCCGGGGGTGATTCTTTATCCTGTTGTACCCTGAATCTTTTATTTGAAATAGTGGGTCAAAAACATGACATTATCTCTTTTACGTGTTTGCTCGAAGTTGTGTTGCTTCTTAAGATTTGTATCTATCATGAAAATATAATCATTCTTGCATTGAGTGAGAATTTGGCATCTGGATTTGTTTATTATGGGGAGCTATTGAATGGTAGGCAGCTTTCGGATATTACGAGTGTCGGTAACTTGTGAAGGAATCCTCCCACCGAAGATTGCATCGTATGTACACAACATTGAGTACACAAATGTTGAGCAGCTCAGTGGCAACATCCTTGTAGCTAACTTTGTTTTTCTTCGAAGGTTCTCCGTTCAGAATTCGGATCCAGTGCTGGTTTCTCGAACCCGTATGTGCGTGTGCACTCGCGCTTGTGTTCTGTGTTCATGGTAGGAACCAACCAAATAAAAAGAACAAGTCTGTTGAGAAACCAGCACTGGATCCAAATTCCAAATGGAGAACCTTCTAAGAAAAACAGAGTTGGCTACAAGGATGTAGATTTGGCAGTTTCTGACACGACATGAAAACGACACGAAAATAATAGGTTTCGGGTCAACACAATAACTTATCGGATCATTATCGGGTGATCTGTTAAGAACCCGTTAATAACAGGTTCTTAACGGGTATACACGAGGGTAACACGTGGGTAACCCGTTTCAACCCATTAAGAAAAAAATTATTTTGATAATTTTAAAGTTTAATTACTAAAAGATTTATTATAAAATACAATAGCCATATTAATATATACAATATATTCTATATTAAATATATAGTTTTGTATTATTATTCAATATAAGTTTAAAAAAAAAAAAAGTTTTAGTCATTATTTATTTTTATTATGAGAGTTCCTTATTATCATTACTAGGATAAATTTTACTTAACATGTTGTTGTCCAAAATTAATAAACTAATATAGTATTTGTATAGGCAAGAACTAAGAAGACATATATACAAGTATGAAAACTGTGAAAGAATATATAAACACTCGTGATTCATTATTATTTCTCCACGAGTAGATAATGGTTATACTTACATTATCATTTAAAATTTTAAAATCCTCCAAACCTTCATGAATAATGTTTTTTATTTGAGGGAAAAATTAATAATAATTATCGTAGAAGTGTAAAAAATGTAAAAAAAATATACAATCACTCATAGTGACCAACTTTACAACTTTCATGAAGGGGTCAGCTTCGAAATTCAACACTATAATTCATAAACCTTAAATTTATATTTAATCGTCGATTGTCATTTACACTTTATTCTTCTTACTGAATTTCATTTTTTAAATTTTATTTTTTGAAAACATGATCATCTGGCGGATGTAAGAAGATGAACGGTTCAGATCTTTGATATCACGTTTCGATATTTACGGTTAATTGAAATATAAGTCGATGTTATGTAGTTTGTAGAAACTTTATAAACATCAAGCAATATTTTCACTAACCGTAAAACTCTGAATATAATATCAACGATTCAAACCATTCATTTTCCTGCATTCTCTAATAGATCAAGTTTTCAAAAAAGAAAATCTGAAAAAACAAAATTTGATGAGAACAATGAAGCGTAAATGTAAATTTTGATCTATGATTTATATGATTATAGTGACGAATTTCACGAGCGTTTATATATTTTTTCTATGTTTTTTTACACTTCTACATTAATTAAAAAACTATTAAAGACTTTAGGTAAGTGAAAATATACTTAAAAGAAAAATGCATTTTTATGTTTTTGATGTGACAATATGGTATGTATACTTATTTAGTATTATGTTTTTCATTTGATTATTTATTGGTTTAAAATATATTTTCCTTAATGGGTAACGGGTCGGGTCATATTACCTGTTAATATTATCGCGTTGATTTCGGGTCGGGTCATTTTACCCGTTTATTTTAACAGGTGTTACACGATACGATCTATTAAGATATCAGGTATGACACGAAAACGACACGAACACGAAAAACACGACACGAATGCCAGGTCTACAAGGATGTTGCCACTGAGAACTCTCGTACAACTTGTTATTGGAATTATCAAAGTTTATCAGGAACCAATGACAAATAGTCTTGTATTCCTGTAAACACACAAGAATGTAGGCTATTTTCCATGAAGTCGGTTGCTAAACAATATATTTACAAATAATTCAATATTAATTGTAACACATGTAAGTAAGTGGTTGATTGTCCTAGTTGCTAGGGTCTTCCTCTCCTACCCACTGTATACCGAGTTCAAACCATTCTTCCTTCCCCTAGTTGTATAATATTGCTTGTAATAAATATTGTAACACATATACAAGGAATTGAAATATTACCTATGACAGACTTTATGAGCATTACTCGAAGAAATTAACTTGGCTCCTCAACGAATGAGGAGGATTTCCTCCTCAATATACTACGCGACTGATTTACGAAAAATTTCATACTTATGATCAAAACCGTTCCTGTTATAAATCACTTGTAAAAGTTCGTCTTTGCAAAAAATGGATAAAATATGAGATCATCTAGTTATCGAACAATATAAAAACAGATTGATGAAATTCGGTACAAAATGACTAACCTTCTATCTATCTGCTATAGTTAATTGATTAAACGACCTTAGTTTTAATTGATTTTGTTGTAGAGGTTATCTTTATATAGTGATCTATATACCATTATAAGTAGGAAGTTCCGTGAGTTGACCAACAAATTTTTGTATATTTCAATAATAGTGACTTAGACTTTACTAAAAATTTGCACTCTTTCAAGAGTATGTTTCAACAATACAATTTTAGTTTCATAGCTGTTTCTGATCTGAATCACAGTTTTAGTTTCATCAGAGAATACAATCAAACACGAAGACTACTCTTTCATCAAAAACAAGAAGATTGCAACTGAGGGATACAAGGCCATTTGCCAGCATCAGCTGAAGAACAGTTGTGATCAAAATGTTGAGCCGTTGAACCCGAAGAAGGACCTCTGAACGAGCAGAATATAAACACATTAGTAATTAATCATCATCAGATAATATTTGTTTTAATCGAACTATCAGATGAAATACTGTCCAACTAATCAGGTCAGACTCAAATACGAATCAATGTATTGAAATGGCTTTTAACTTACCTACCTTAGCTAAGTGTAATTTCACTACGACAAAAGAAAATAGACGAGTTAATTTGGTAAAGCGTAGCATAACCGGTCCCTTTGTAGTCTGGGGGTTTTGCGCTACAACAAAGCTTCTTGGAGAAATGTTGTAACTGGCTTTGTGAGAAATGGCATCTCCTCCTCCCCCATTAGTGTACTGGGGGAGGGGGGAGGCATTACTATTTATTCTTCTTTTGTTTTGATTCGGGGAAGGGGAAGCACAGTAATAATGGAATTATGCGTGGGTGTGGAGATAAATTGCTCTACCACAAGAAGAAGAAGTCCCACGAGTAATTTATGATGTTATGCAATACGAAGATTACACAAAACTAGTAGAGTGCAGGTGCAAAATTCAGGCAAACGAATACAAAACAAGTAAATAGGCTCACCTCAACGTCATAAAATTTGATATAGAAGCGGGAGCTATCAATGGAGAGCTTAGTTTCGAGAATTTCTGCAATGGTTGAACTCAGTTTTCCGTTAACACCTGGTCCAATGCCCCCAATGGAGATCAATTCTCCATACGCAGCAGGCTCTTCCGTGCCAGCAAATGCAATCGGCACAGACCCGTTGAGCAAAATCATCACATACTGAAGAACAGGGAAACCAAAACAGAAACATAAATACCCAATGATACTGTAAGCCACCAATACAATATAGAATTGCATGGGAAACAAGATATTACTGTTCATTCAGTACTTTCGTCGAACACTTTATGTGCATGCCAACAGCAAGATAAAAAAGGATAAGAGAGAGAGAGAGAGAGAGAGAGACTTAACGGACTCGGGTTTGCCAATGATCTTAGAAACGGCTTTGGTGGCGTCCTTGAGGATGTCAGAGGCCACAACTCCGTCCACCGGCAAGTTGGTAAACAGATTCAACGTCGGCATTCTTGTCAGATTTGAGAGAAGCTGAACAAACAAGGCGTTTCTTATTAGAATCAAAGAAATACAGAAACCGGGTGGTTTTAAAAAAACGCAGCTTGTAACCTTGTAGATAAGTCTATCTATTTATTCTACGCTGTTGAGGAATCACGTCCTTGTCAATTTTGCTACCCCACCACTTTATTTATTTATTTATTTATTTATTTATTGAAATTCCTCCTCAACAAAAATACTTATTTAATGGTTCTTCATTTCAACGGCACGGCATTCGCATATACTGCCGGCCTTTCATCCTGTGTCAATGATATGACATGTAAGTTGACTCTAAGAGTCAAAGGCCACCAAAGAACTCTTGTGATCCTGCTGCTAAAATTCGGTTCCTGAGCTTTCTTAATGATATTTTTGGTTGAGCTATACGGATCATACGGTTGCTCTTCTTTTTTTTTTCTTTTCTCTTTTTTTGTTTTTTCTCAGAGCGTGGGTTCAGCATGCTGCTTCCAAAGGCTTTTCCCCCAAGGTCCAAGAAGTAATAGAGGACAAAACAGCTGACTTGTCTCAAGAGCCTAAAAGTATCTGTTGAAATAGGGTTCTGTGGGGTTCCCTTTCTCTAGTATTACTGCTTACTTACATCCACCATCTTTTTAAACACATCAAAACAGCTGAGTCCTTTAAATCAACCATCTCTTCATTCGGTTTCTCCGATACCATACATTTTAAAGTAGAGTTCAATTGTAATATATTTTTATTCTCACAATTGTATTCTTTCTTTATTTTAATAAATATTACTATTTGGTCTCATCCCATACATACATGAAGACAAGTAGAGAATATCCACAACAGGATTCCTCTTTCTTTTCTTTTTTTTTTTATATTTTTTTTTTTTTGTGGAGTTCTTAATTTCTTACTGGCCTAGAATAATGCTTATATTCAAGAACATGATTACAAATCCAAAGTTTGATCAAACTCAAAAAAAAGGAAACAAAAAATAATAATTAAAATGCTCGTTTAACTTCCAAATTAATGAACAAACTCACAAACCAACACCAAAACCACTACTATTTCGTTACAGTCTTCTATATCCCTTTCAACCTTAGTTACCCCTGGAAAGCTACCAACAGATCAAATCTGATGATCCAGATAACAAAACAGGACCCTGACCCCTTCTGGCAACTTTATAAATACTACCTCCAACATTAATATTTCTCTGATTATATTCATTTGGAAAAAGTAGAAAACCCACCATTAGTCCTTACCAATTAATTCAAAGCCTGAACGTGCTGTAGCCTCCTCCTAGACCAGACGATCCATAACTGCCGCCATAGGGTTGTGAGGGTAGTGACGATGATGGGTATGATGGAGCACCTAACTGAGAGTAGGATGACCTCAATCCAGTATCCATCACGCCATAGTTACTTGTAACTGGTTCCTTCCGACTGTTTATAACCTCCTAAAACCACACACAAGAAAAGATAACCAAGTGTCTACAATTTCCAAACCATGAATCACTCCCTATTGAAATTACATATTATTCAATGTTTTTAACTTGCCAAATATTCAACCCTGCCAGCATGCTAATATGCAATATTTTTTCCCTAATGAAATGTTTTAATACCAATCGGTAAACTACCACCTTCTGTAACTTAAACATGGTAATTCATTTTTCATTATCTCAGAGTCGTAACAGGTCTTTATTAAACAAACAAACAAAAAAGTGTTTGTTTCCGCTCCTTGCCCCCTCCTTGATATTTGAAAAGAAATGCTCATTGGTAAGCATACCTGAATCAATTGTTGAGCCATCTGAACCTGTGACGAGGTGCCTTTTATTTCTACGGTAATTTCATCAGGTAGTCCCCTACTCTCTTGCACAGTTAAAATGGCTCCGCTACTACGACGAATGAATGCAATATTCGACCCTTCAACCCCAATAATGTCCTCAGCATAAGATAGAGGAATTTGCATTGTTTGTGCAATCTGATTGTAGAAAACAGATAAAATATTACTACCAAGACAGTATAAATAGAGAACGGAAGTACAAGAATTTAAACAGAATATTCCTCTTTCTACATAGCCCTATTTGCACTTAATTTTTTTTCTTAACGAACAATCAGAGTATAAATGCAGAAATTGACCCACGTAACACAGGCCTGATGCAATCTGATACACTCTAGTTTTCCAATTAAAGACAAATTCATACATCAAGAAATTTTTCCTCAAATGGAAGAGTCAGTAAGTAAGACATACATACAGCCTATGCATATCCTCATATTTATAGTTATAAACAAGACATGTATTCCTACTGTTGCCAAGTAAATAAAGGTCTAGACAGTAAAGGATCCCCCAGCATCCTTATAAGGAAGCAAAATATACAACACTGTTGACCCCGTAATTTAAATAAAAGTTACAGCAAAGTTAGACCATCCTTGTGTGTATGCATGCTGTGAAGACCCAAATAAGCTCATTACATGGAAGTACGAAGTTGAGATAAAATGTCAAACAGTTAGAACAACTAACCTGAGTAACAATAGGAGCACCAGGACGACCAATTCCTGAAGAACGAAAAGAACCAAGATCTTGTCCATAAATAGACCCTTGTCCGTAAACAGAAGTGTCTTGTCCATAAATAGGAGGATCTTTTCCATATATTGAAGGATCTTTTCCATAAAGTGAAATTCCAGCGGAAGGGAGTTGTGATTCCAATTGAGTTTCACGATCAAGAAACAAAGACTCCCTCTTTGCTGAAAGAGAATAATTAGTGCCAACTCCAGTTTGAGAAGCAGTATGCAGCAATGACTTGTCAGCCCAGGTAGTATCGGGTTGGCGCTCTTGTGAGATTGTCGCATACTAAAGATGCACAATCTAGTAATTAATACACAGCAATACAAAGAAATGAAAATACAGCAGACATCAGTGGGAAATAAGCTTACAGTCTTCTCAAAAAGTGGAATAACACTATGATCAACCAAGAACTTCCTCAGGTGAGCCACTACCGTTTCTACAGCTTTGAGAACCTTTAAAGCTTCTCCCTGCAATTCAACAATCCTCTCATCTGCGGCAGCATAGAATGGAACCTCCTCTGCACGAATAAAAATAAGGTATTGGAGAATGAAGAAAGGAAGAAAGGGAATAGACACTAGTTTCATAAATAAGGATCTGAATACACTGAATAACATGACAGAGCATTTCTAAAAGGGACAACGAATATGACCAAGGCTTGTTTTTCAAAAATGCAGCTATATTAATTTTTTGACAAGTATAAGCATCATGCATTCTGAAGTTAAAGGACTCTAACATGGAAAACGGATCCACAACTCAGACGCAGGAAAGACAAAGGGAGAAGAATTTAAACTCCACGCCATACTAGGAATAATAATATACTTATCTTCACTAGCATGATCACCAAACTTATAAATTACCAACGGAAAAGCTAAGTCAGTATAAGGAGCACAGAAGTAACTCGAAATAAAGAAAACAAATACGGAAACTTAATTATCATTTTAGGTCTAATTTCCAATAAGTAAGCCCTTCGCTCAGTTGTTCATTGTATAACCAATCTAACCACTTCAGTTATAAATCATAAAAACAGCAAAGAAACACACTATCCTTAGAATTGGGGAAAAGGTGATGAAATAGGCAGATATTTTCAACCATTGGTATTTTACTGAATAAAGAAAAGTTGTATCATGTAACAATAAGAACATACCTCCAGACAATACTCGCACAGACGATCCAGTACTCTCTTGTATAGATTTGATTAATGATCCTTGTTTTCCAATTAAATTAATTGCTTGGGTAGATGCTACCAACAACCGGATGGAACAGAATGCAACTCCAGCAGCACCAGACCCCTCACTCTCAGATAATCCAGAGACACGTTTGAATATTCTTATACAGCATCCATTGCAGGGGAAAGAGGTGCCTCTGGCTCTTCCCTTCCAGAGATCAGCACCTAAAAAGAAATGTATATTAGAAAGATTGTAGCATAGAATGATATCACGATAAACAGTTTATGGTTCAGTGGCCTCACACACTGATAGATCACAAGCAAGTAGAAAGAAGCTTCACAGCCAGTAAGATAGTGATGAACCACTTTGAGATTAAGACTAAAAAGGAAATATAAAATACAGAACCACAGATTGGTTCAAGTATGCAAGAAAAAGGTGATATTTGGAAATCTAATCAGCACTAATGGGTCTTGATATAACTTTGTGATGTTGATACCCATGGAAACTTTGTTAGGAAGGTATCAAATCTTATAAATACCAATTAAACAATGCGTAAAAACAAAGATTTAGTCTTGTAACTAGATAGTTATAAAACTTCTCGACAGTTACTCGTCTTATAGTATAGCCCTTACTATGTTTTGAGTGTTTGAATAAAACCACAAGCCCGGTGCAAAAGAGTTCACATTATAATAGGACATCTTGACATAGCAGAATACCAGATACTTATTGTCACATTATAATAGGTCATCTTGACATAGCAGAATACCAGATACTTATTGTCATTCTCATCTTATGCCCCACTCACAAATTAAGCGATTTGAGTACAACTCTGAGATGGATGCAAAGGACTTTGCCTAGCAACGAGTCATCTTCAGATAGCAGAAAACTCAACACTGATCAAGTCTCGTTTCAGATTTGAGATTCTCTTATATCTTCATTTCTTTAAAAATTCGAGAAAGTTACTGATCTTATGCACATTACTAACACATTGAATGATAGAACAAAACTATGAGCCAGGTGCAATAGCCTTTTCTAAGCAATAACACCTATGAACCAAATGCTAGAATTAAACTAAATTTACTTTTAGGGTTTCTGTTACCTCGTGACAGATTCAACTAAATTCCCAAAATCCAAATTCAAGTTTTCAATCTTTACTCTTCCCACCCACTTATTAGCAACAACAAAGCCTAATTAGAGATCCTGAATTATCATTGTGCCACAATTAAACAGAGGATAACACAAGGGAAGCCGAAAATTACAAACCCTAGGGTTCAACGCAACCATAAAACCAGTTTAAACGCAACCATAAAACCAGTATAAACGCGGCACTTTGGAGCAAATTACGAGAACACGAAAAAGCTAACCCTGGAAAGGAAGAAATCGAGGAAAACTCACGATGCGATCAGGATTTCCAACGGCGCCGTCGAGGACTCGAATGCGAGCTCGGGTCTCCTCACACATCTTCTTAATGAGCTCGCCTTTGCGGCCGATAATGCTACCGACCTTCAGAACCGGCACAATTAGCCGAAACACACAGTCCCCGGGCCAACCCGGCCATCGTTTATCGGCTACTGAGGTGGCATCGTTGCCGACATTCGTTGCG